CGACCTAACCACCTGGTCATGCCGGGTCTCATTTGTATTGTTTGTTTATAATCAAGCACAAAGTTAAACAACGGGCTATCTGTGTTCTGCCCACAATGGGTATCGAAACGCGATTTTCAGCATTGCAAGTCCGCAGACATATAGCTGTGCCACTGAGGGGCAAGTTATATAGAAAGATGGAGAAAGAACATCCTGTTAATATGTCATTCTGAGCATTGTAATGTTCGAAATGGTTTAGTCTTGTTGTTTCTAACAATCGAAATGAAAAACGCAAGGAAATTTGTTCAGAATTAAATAGATTAAGATTATGTTCTTATTTATTAATATAATTTGCTGTAACTCAAATTTATGTCTTGTAAAAATATTATTTCCATTTTACTGACATTCTTTCAAATAGTGTAATAAATATAACAATAATGTAATTAGCTAAAAAGCACCTATTATGTTGTTTTTTTTTCTAAAATGGATATATTACTAGCTTGTAAAGAAATTCCTATGTGTAATTATTATTTAAAATAGCATTTTTCAAAACTATTTTTACATTTTGTTTTTGTGCTTTTGGTTTGTCTGAGTTATTTAGTGATCCTAAAACGATATAGCATAATTATACCAGAAAGCCGAAATTGAAAATATAAATTAATCTGTTGTTTACTTTTCTTAATATTTTGTTAGGAAAAGCTGAAGTACTTGAAATGAGAGGGATCCCTTCGCGTCTTTTAAACAAGGTAGAAAGGCATTCTGAAGATGATATTTTGGCCAATCCACAGTTGCACAACATCACTTCAACTGAAAATACAATGGTATGCTAAAATTACTTACAAAAACGTCATCTTTGTAATATATATATTTAAATATATCATCAATGTTTTTTTTTTCTATTTTTATGTCTGTACATAATATAAACTGTCTTATTACCTTATCAGAGCACGTGCTTAAGATAGGGTTGGACCAATTTTCGCAGCGAAAATAACCTGTACTTGATGGTAAAGCGTTATGATCTCCATCAAGATGCAGATCATATGCAACTTCCAGGTCGAAATTCTGTAAACATGTTTTCTTATACGAAGTATTGGTCATTTCATAACATGTAGAATTACAAGATAATATATTTGAAAAGAAATGGAAATTGTTTGCTAAGACTTCTTTGATCTTCTTATCATGTTTTAGGTTATGAATTAGTAAAAGTCATCTTAAGAGAAAATTATCAAATTTATGAGGTGCAAATAAACCAATATTAGGTGTTTTCTACATGAATAGAAAAAAACATAATAAAATTAAGAATTTTTGGGGATGGGTACATCTCTGATGACACTAGTTGATAGTTGTATTAAGACCCACATCTAATATTGATTTGGACGACTTTTCTATTCGATTGTAACCAAGACATGACATGGTTTGGTATCCATAATACGCCCAGCTGTACCTGGTTCGATTGTAGCTTATTTGATTGCAACCGGTTATCGAGTTAACTTCTATCCTAACACGGACCAATCGAGGTCTAATGGTTAGAATGCTGGACAGTGAATCCGAGGGTCCATGGTTCGCATCTTGTTGCCATAAAATTGTCTTCTACTCTTTGCGATTAGTTGTGCCTAAGAGTTAGCGATAGGTTCTGTTAATTAGTTAAATCATCTCTTGTCTATCGTTTCAAAATTAGATACATCTTAGTACAGAAAATCTTTGTGTAGCTTTGCTCAAATTTCCGAAACATTAATGAGTAATAGTACGATTCGCTGACCTAAGAAGATGACAAAGGCCTCTTTCAAGATCTTCAAACCACTTTATAACAATTCCAATGTGGTAGACTGCTATACTGAAATATCGGAAGTGCTCTTGTTTATCAAGATGGACATGGCCTATAACAAGGTCAAGATTTGGGTACACTGAGGTTGAGGTCCTTTCGTTCTAAAATAATAGAAGTAGCTAAGCCCCATTAATCGAACAATCCTACATACTTGTATTACTTCTACCAGTTGGCGCTGTCAAGTTAATTCAGGTTATTAAAATAACTCCTTGATTTTTCTCCATACTTTAAATATGTTGCCACAAAAGGAAATGGTTTAACGCGACAGTCACACAGCATCACTGACTGTCTATCATAGTTCATAATACTATGAAGCATTCACAGCCTATCATAGTCCATAATACCATCCCAAATTCACAGTCTATCATAGTGCATAAAGAATCAAGTACTTACAGTCTATCAAAGTTCATAATACCATCACACACTGACTGTCTACATATTCCCTATTACCATCGCGGGCACACACACTCACAGTTTATTAAGGTCCATAATACAATCACACATTCATAGCCTATCATAGTCCATAATACCATCACACACTCACAGTCTATCAAAGTCCTTAATAATCACACATCCACAGTCTATCATGTTTTATAATACCATCACATAATCCCATTCTATTACAATCCTTAATAGACACTGTAAGCATTCCTGAAGCCGTATTTTTTGTTTGCCTCTGTAATACGTGGTTTTCAAGTCTCGCTGTCGGCTACAAAGTTAGAGGGTTCGTAATATCTTTGCAAGGTACAGTTGAAATAATTGATGTCCCGGGACACAGTTACGTATGTTTCACTTTACAAACCTGCTTAATTGAATGTTTTTTTCAGTTGGGCACTAGTAGAAAGCAGCTACAGTTTTCACTTGTAGTAGGCATATACTCCTTTGATTCCCACTGTTGTTAGACTCTGTTGGTATATTTCTTTGAAAACTGGGTCAAATAAACCTTCAACAATAATCTTTTAGCTAGATAGGCGCTTATATGATACGCCTTTTAAAATTTCTATAGATCTTTGTTCTATCTGATTATCTTACAGTCTATCCAAGATACGACTAAATTTCAGCATTTATAGGTGTCAAGAAAACACCTCACACATGAGCAGCATATTTACGATACGCAATTAAATCAAGAAATGGGTGTGCACTGTATAAAGAAATTGCGAGCTATTGCATTCATCTGTACACTTAAAGAAGTTACAAATGTATATCTCTAAGCACGTGAAATTGGTTATTTTGAATGTTTTTTTATCTTATACTAAAGAAGAAATCTATTTCACTTTATTTGAATTCAGTGCAAACATTTGTTTAAAGTAAACAGCCTAGTAATGAGTAAATAGATATGATATTGACTGATTTATGAAATAAGTAGATACTTTTAATACACTAAGAGCTTAACTGTTTACTGTTATGTCGTTTGTTGCACACGATTCTCTTAATCTACTACACTTTAGAGATTAGAAACAGGCTTCGACTACCATCGAAACATCACCAATAAAATCCTTAACATTCTTAACAGGACAGTGGGAAGACCTTTGTAATAACTAAAAGGTTCTAAATAGAAAGCCTTTTAAAGTTATATTTTATTCGCTAGAAATTAGAGAATATACTCAGAATTCCCACACTAACTCGTGTTCTGTAATCTTCACGATACATGTCTGTACATGCTCGCAGAGTTACGATAGTTTTGGGACTTTGTGTTACAATTTTAACAAACTTAAATGTTTTCACCAATAAAAAAAGAATTTGAAAACGTATACATAGTACGACATAAAGGAGTTAAGTATGCAACGCAATGGTAGACAATGTTATTGTATGCCAGTAACGTACAGTTCTGTCACAAGAGTGTTACAAACTACCAATATTACAGTTTTAGACAGAAATAAAAGAAAATAAGGGTAAATAGAAAAAAAAGCTAAATTGTGTAAGCAAGAAATGTGTACAGCTTATTACGAATTGTCTAGGAATCAATTTGAATCAAAGTAATTTATTTACGTAAAACAGGAAAAAATAATTTAATATAGTGTTTTAAAGCATGTAGTTGTGGCATCTATATTTGGATTCCTTACACATTCTAATCAACTTGCTCAATTAATTTCATTAACTTAGCGTTTACAGTTAAGAGATAACTTGAAACTTTTACATTATAAATAGAAAATCAAATACAGATCAGATATAACATCACTTAAACATCTAATTTATTTTTATTATCTAATGTAAAGACGTTTCTTAATATTTTGATTATTTTTCATGAAATGTTGTAGTAAGGCTTAACATTTTCAACATTTTAAAATAAAGAGAGCTTAATTAAGGACTTAATTAATTAATCTGGTATACAGTTTTCTTCAGACACATAATATAGGTGTCAATACTGCTTAGTAATAAAGGTGCTTGAAAATTTGACTCTGTAGCTACAAACACAAGTGCAAAGCCAATCGTATTTACACGTGTATTTTCATTGCTAATTTCCCAATGTTTTTCTAACAATTGTTTCTCTATGTATGACTGATGTTTCTTTCGTGAATGTCACTAAATAACGTCTAGATATTACAGCTATAATTCTATTTTTATCGGTATTTCATTATCATTAATATATATATATATATATATATATATATGTACGTAAATTAAACAATTGTACATATCTGCTCAATTTTTTTGAGAATTAATTTGTTTTTAATAAATTATACATTTTTTAATAATTTAGTAATTTGACACAAAATACTTGCACTTTGAGCTCATAGTAATGTATATATAATGTTACCTTTGTTTATAATTTTTGGTATATGCTGTGTTCGTTATTTATATAAAAAATATGATAAAGATAATGTTGTCACGATGGTTTTTATTAAGCTCTTAACATACAAATTTATGAATGACTTCAAACAATGTCATTTTCCACTAATAAACACTTTTTTAAATTATTGATTAAGGTTTATATTATTTTGTTTGTTTTTTTTTACAAAAGGATCTAATTGCACTGCAAATTGTTTTTTACGGAAAAGAGTATTTTCATCTTTGAAGGCTTAACACTGCACATGGTATTAATTTTTACTAGGTCCACCATGGTGTATCGTACGCTGAACTGTATTTACCCAAACCTCAGACTCTGCAACAGGTAAGATCGTAGTAGCTGCTAACAGAATATACTCATGCTGATTTTTTTACAGACAAAACTAGCATCTTATAATACAATTTGTGTAAAGAGATGAATAAAGTAGCACTATGACATAAACAGGCTTAATGGAGAGATAATCCCTATTGTAACCTAATGAAAGAATCGACATTTACTTGAGGGGCAACAGGAACTTGGGATTTAAGACTTTCTTTTCTTATTTATTCTGAACAGTTCCCATAAATATCTTTACTACAATAATAGATAAGTTTGAATGGAACGAAGAGAAGTATTTTCATTTCACTGTCACATGATTCTTTTCTATTTGTTGCGAACATCACCTAAGGATTTTCATATAAGCTATGCATTATTTTAATCTCTACTTTGGCAGTTCCATGGGCATTAAAATAGATGTAACTTGTATCTTGTATAATGTAATATGTATAATAAGTATAGAGTTTTATACTCAGTTAAGGATTATTGATACTTTATCCTCCCTAAAAAAATGGAACTGAAACTTTTAACACCGCATTCAGCAAATCCTAATTTTTATCTTGTTATGAAAGAAACACTAAGTTCTGGAACTATTTATTGTTTTATTAATATTTTAAACAAAATGTTATTAATTAATCTTTAAATGCTTTCCAGCTAAACAGAGCCTCATACTGTGAAAGAAAACCAACATCTACTTCAGTGTGAGAAATAAATAGCATTAAGGATGGTTTGTTCTATTGAAACACTTTAATCATAGCTTTTTTGTTCGTCACATCAAAATGGTTGAAACCTAAAAACAACATACCATCACGTTTCGCTGCGTCAAATTCATATTCGGATAGAAGGAGACCAGGAGAGAACAAAATGTATCTTTACATAATCACTTCGGTCAGAACTAGCAAACTTATGTGGCTGACATATTAAAATTTCCTTTAATCAACTTAAATGTCAAAAAATATTTCGCTTGTAATACATTTCACATAATTGTAAGCTTTTCGATGATTTTGTATTTTTATTTGAAATAAAAATTGTCATTGTTACCGACCCATAAAAACATGATATGCAATGTTGTTTATGTTTTATAATATACGTATTTACATCAAATTATTTTATTAATCACAATTCAAAACTTTCACGACTTTATTTATAATTTTTTCAGAAAATGTGATCAACGTTTAATATGTTTTGTGTTCATACATTTCTGACAACTATTTCTTTCTTATCATTCATCAACGAAAAATGCAATAAATCCTAAACGTCTAGTAATACAAGCCGCTTTCTTCAAAATGCAACTCTTCATTATAACAAAAACGTGTTCAAGATATAAGAAAGCAGTGTAAAAGCAGTGTATTTTTGAAATAAATCATCATCTCAAGATATAATTGAGTTATCACACTAGGCAAACATTTTATGCTGTTCAGCAAAAGCTAATATTACGAGGCTTGCTTTATAGTTCTCACCTCTCTAAAACTGACCTTTTTATTAATGTTCAGTTTAGGGGTCAGGCCTTCTTAAGTGTCCATTTTTCAACTGGAAAATGTTGAAAAAACTTTCTCTTATAAGTATGATATATACAGTTCTTGAAATACATTATAAGTATGATTTATACAGTTCTTGAAAATACAACTATTGACAAACCTTGTGCCAAAAAGCTAGCACTCGGGCTACATTCTATCATAATTTTCCACCTTGATGAAGATTGCTACTGTTTTTCACATGTGTGCTCCTTTATCAGAATATATTCTACCTATAATAAAAAGGGAAGAAGCAAACAAATTATAAGAAGGTTTTCCCGTCTGCTGCCTTTTTTCTGTGATAATATTTCAGCTGCCGACTTTGTTTACCGTCCATTCTAAAAATACAAATATGAAGCCCATCACCGAAATGCATACTACCTCTATATATTAGCAAAGACAAGTGTAGAAATTAATGTTGTCTCCTTTACATTTCTACAGTAAATCCATCTATAGCAGGGTAAAAGAATAATTAGTTTGTATAAGACTACTCTACAGATCATAAACGTAAGCTTTTATTATAATGTGGCATTATACTTAGAAGTGGAAAGCATCTATAAGGATTATCTGTTTTTATAAATATACCCTTAATTATCGCTCACGGATTTGGCTTTGTAATCTAAACCCAAGACTACCTAATCCCACTTTCAAGAACTTTTCTTGCAGGAAAATAACTTGATTTGTGACTAATAAATTTCAAATTCGCTCTATCCTAATCATCTGCACATGGTTAAAACTAAATATGACGGGAAAAGCAATATGTAATCTATATATTCCCCTTTGAAGGAAAACTAAAGTAAGTGAGAACATGTAAAGGAGTTCACGCAATTTAATTTTCAGTGATTTTTTTATTGAATAATGCAATTCACTTTTTCCCTTTCAGTTATTGATAACAATAAATGTCTAGGTTGTTATGTATAACGATATAACAAAATGACATAATTTGAGTATCTACACTAATTCGCCCTCCAGTGGCACAGCAGTATTTCTGCGGACTTACAACGCTAGAAACCGGGTTTCGATACCCGTGGTGGGCAGAGCACAGATAGCCCTTGTGTAGCTTTGTGCATAATTAAAAAACAAACAAACAAACACTAATTCAAGTGCTTTATTACAAGCTCAAAATTGACATTCCCGAAATATCTCTTGATTCCTTGTGTCTGGGGTATGATCAAATTAAATTATATACTTTCCGGATTGATTTTGGACTCTAATCTTTTAGTTGCTCAAAAATTTGTAATTATTGTCTTAAAAATAAACAACCGTAAGGGAGAACACATGTTACGGCGACATCTTATTTTGGATATTTTTATATGCAAAAAAATAAAGGGACAGCCAGCTAATAACAAAATTTTTGAAAAAATAAATGTTCACTAATTAATCTCACTAAAGGCTTGAGTCATACTTAGAATTTTTGTGTTATTGCTTTAAAATTAAAATATTCTGCTGCCGACATGCTACTTTTAACATCCTACTATTGTTTATTTCCTTGGTTTAATGGAAAAGCTTAATACTAACTCAACATATTATATATATGTTTTGAAAGCTCTGTCCACCGTCTATCATTTATAAATTATTATATGTTTGTGTAACGTACATACATAGAGAAATTTGTCCCAGAACACTGGCGACATCAAATTGGACACTTAAGAAAGCCTGACACTTAGATAGCTTAATAATTACCACAACAAAAAGTGCACAAATATCACAGAAATTGTCACTTTTTTCTAAATGTAATTTCATCAAAACAGCTAGTGTTTTAAATCGATCTACTCAAATAGTCTCGTAATGTGCTTGTTTCACCTTAGCTTTGTGTGATGTGTTAATATCATGGGAAATTAACTGTGTTTTCTTAAAAATAATATCAAATTCGGAAGTACTTTAAAAAACATGTCGAAATTTACAATTGTAGTTAAACTAACGTTCATATGTCAATAACCTCTGGTTGAGATATCCTGCTGAATGATGATGTTCCACTTTGGAGTAACATGTTTTGGTTAGGTGAAATCTGGAAAATCAAATATTTGCAGGAATTATTTAGACAAAGCAACAATAAGAAATAGAAAATTGTATGTCTTTCTTGCTGCAAAATATGCAGGAATTATTTAGACAAAGCAACAATAACAAATAGAAAATTGTATGTCTTTCTTGCCGCAAAATATGCAGGAATTATTTAGACAAAGCAACAATAAGAAATAGAAAATTGTATGTCTTTCTTGCCGCAAAATGATGTAAACATGTTTAAGAATATAACGTATGTATAATGAAAACTATTTACGTTAGTTAAACACTTCTTTATTCTTTTATAATGAGAGCTAAAACATTAGTCGAAATCTATAATTGATAGAAGAGGTCCTGAATCAAAGCTTAGGTATATATATATATATTAATATTTTCACGTACAAACAACAAATGATCAAGTGTTTTCTATTATTTTTTATTCCCTGATTTTGCCAAAATGATTTCGTTCCTTAATAATACAGTCTAGACATACGTTACATCAGGTTATACAAATATTAACAAAACTGGTTATGCGGTGACGCTCATGAAATCTATGCTGTAATAAACACAATATAAAACACAAGACTGGTAAAGTAAGAATAGAGTAATATACCGTCATAACATGAGTAACGTACTGAAAATGCAGCTTCGGATCATGAACACAAAAAATAAATAAATATGCTTTTTCAAAAAATGACATTTTTATCTATCTATCTGTATGTCCATCCATACATCATTATTTTATAATAATGCAAATAGAGTAGATGATTGACCAATAGCAGTTGTTTAAAAATGTCTCAAATCTTATTCTTTGAAAGAATAGCTTTAGCTCAAATAATATCGTGAACGCGTTTAGAAATTTTTGTAATATTCAATAAAATTCCCACAAAGTCATTGTGGTCATTCAACTTCTCTGTGGTAATTTAATCGATGGGATTAGCTTACGATATCGAAAAGAGCTTTATCAACTACAATACATTTTCATATATACAAAATGAAACGGTGAGATGATAAAAAATGTAGATGATGTGAACATTTTCAACAAAAACATTGAGATTAAATTCGTGACAGAATCTAAATGTAAAAAATGGATTTGAAAAAGAATAATCTTTCATTTTGTTAAGTGCTTCGTTTTTTTAATATAAAATATATCTTAAAGACGCTATTTCTAGTTGGTAATTTGATATGGTCATGTATTATTCAACTTGGGTGTCCCAAAATGTAACTTTTTCATACATGTTTTATAAAACAGAGATAAAAACATCAGTTCCAGTTTACTGCTACAAGGCAAACATATCATTTGATAATGAAAACCATAATATCTTTAAAGTCAACAGGTAGCGTGTTTTAATTCGGACAGTATTAAGAGCTTAAAACCTTCAGTGTTTATTAAGATTCTCTTGGGGTGTTAAATATTGACCAGATCTTCATGTTATTTCATTTACGTTTCCTGATTCGTAACACATCATATATGCTGTTTGTTTGTTTGCTTGCTTTTTTACTTTCTGCCCTTTTCAGCTTTTGCCTGGATTCCTGCTAAGATAATGTGTATGAAGACTTTTAAGAATTTTTCTGTTGTTAAATTAATTCAATTTATCCGATTTGAAATGATGTCACAAAAGGAGAAACTGTTGATTTTTTAGCTGTTTTATCACTGTAATGGTACATAGATTATGAAATAAAACAACTTAGTGCTGATAAATTGAATTTAATGATAACCCTTAGCTTTTCTGTCCTTTTAAAAATTAAATTTCAAAACATCTTATATTTGTTCGGCATGTTTAATAAAAACCAACTAAATTATCAGCGAAATCTATTTTTAGGGTCTGTAATATATATAACAAACTTCAGACAAAAGAATTTTAGCGAGTACGATGCTTTTTTTTTCAAGTTGTCATGAAAAAAGATAATACAAATGTGTATGTTTTTTTACAATAAAATAGTTTATTGGAATAATATCAGTAATCTTCTTCCGTATATTTATTATAGACATCAAACATTTTTCATATATTTTTCAAATCAAGTCTTATACTCATTTGGCTTGCGTATGTATTGTACTGACATATAGTATAAAGATTACTTTGTTTAAACGTGCATCTCCAGTCTTAAAATAAAGTATGTATAAATTGACTCATGTGTATATATGTGTGTGTGTGTGTTGAAATAACGTATTTACACGTTCTTACAAAGAACAGGGCTTAATAATATGTTGTTGTGATAATCAAATAAATGTTGACTAAAGATACGTACATATTGTGCATTTTCACAGTGACAAAAAATGTAACGATTAGAGAGAGATACATAAAGTGTATTATGTTCGGCTAAATCTTATTTT